GTCACTTGTAGAATGACACTAAGAAGTATTTTAGTATTTTATGTGTCTAGAAAGAATATAAATATGAATATGAAGGGATCTACAAGTGCACAGATAATATACCATTGTAGCATTTCACCCGGGAATATTCCAGGTATCGTTATTTATATTTTTACCACAGGGAAGGACGGGCAGTTGGAATATATTGATAATTCATACGTATGATGGAGAAGTAAACCATAACCAAACTTTTACTCACAATAGGGGTATGTCAAGAGATAAATATGATAAGTAATGACAAATGATAGATGATCACTCAGAGTACTCCTTTCTATGGCATTAACATTGCTAAGTAGAAATTAGAGGAATAATTCATAAGTCATTCTTAATTACAAGTCAAAGCATACATTGATTAGTGCAATTACACTTAGTAGTCATGGCTAAGATCAACTTCTTATCTACACATAAGGGATATTACTAAGGAAGATAAAGAACACAGCATGTCTTCCTTCGTAACTAGATCCTACTTGTCCTATATTCGGGGAGTGGATTACAAAGGACTCAACAGGAGTATCACATCTGTGATCTACCACATGACCCAGAATATAGGGTGCATCTGCAAGTAAACAACGTATAAGCACCACGCTTACACAATGTCAACCACTCACCCCATGTACATTGGAGCGAGCGCTATACGAACTTATGCTTGAATATAATTATAATCTAGCTATACTAAGCATATAATCAGAGTAAACAATAAACATGATAACTAGGAACATGAGTAATATTAAGAACAATGTCGAATCATTTGTAGCAAATATATGAATAATGAAAGATACAAAAGAGGATACAAGGGGCTATACCAAGCCATGCTTCTTGACAAGATCAGGAATCCAAGCGAAGCTTGCCTCCCTCTAGATCTAGCCTAGCTAGCAATGCCCTAAAATATACTGGAGCTCTGAGGATGATCAGGGTTTCTTGATCTCTTAAATGACTTATGCAATGCCTGAGAGAGAGGGGTAGGGGCTGGTATATATAGGCCGGAGCATCAATTCTAAGCCCTCGGATCAAACCAACTTGAAAGAATGGCGTAGATTCAAACCCTAAGGTGGTGGAGAACCGACATTCAAAGGAGGGGACTGACAGGTGGGATAGGGGGACGGCCGGCCTGCAGGTGGCTGTCTCTCACCCTCTGCTGTGGTGTGGTGTCCTCTGGAGTCTTCTAAATCCTTCTAGTGTACGTCTCATTGCGGATAAGCGTGATTAATTCTAACAAATAGGTCCACCTTGACGGTTTTCTGAATAAACCCTGCTGAAAACACAGATTCACCAAAACTCGTGGAATTTGTTAGTTTAAACCTCTAAACCTATGTTGGTGATCATATTCATATATTATATTGACGGTTTATAATGGTTGTTAACTACCGTCAACACTCTACGAACACCAATCCGAACGTGGTGGATTACAATGGCCTGATAGAGCTGTCACCTCTGAGGCTACCACAACTAACCATGGGATTGGACGCAATCTTAGGTAACTAATAGTCTAGACACATTGTCTATACTATCGATTACTACTCTAGTCACGTACCATAACTAGAGCACTCAATGCGAGCGGAGATCCAATGTTAAGGTGTAAGAACTATACTAACCATACACATGAAAGACATAAAAGTAAATAGAGAAGATAACTATGTTAAAGCATAAGTCTTACAAAGGTAAGGTACAAAGATATACCTGACCTCCGAAGAATTCTCCAGAACCTGAGCATAGCTCAACTCGCCCTAACTCCCAACTTAACTATTCTACTTCTACATATTGAGAGTATTGTGGAGATTTCTCTCTTGTGGTGTATCTTGATCTGAATGAGAGATGGCTCTCAATGGATGCCTCCCTAGTGGGGGTCTAGGGTCCTTTTATAGGGGGAACCAGGAGTCCTGTGGGCCCATGAATCCATGGCAACATCAAATCTGGACCCTCGATACTAACCGACCTTGAGCAACAGTGTAGATTGTATCTTACAGGCGGTGGGAAACCGACATACGAAGGAGAGGTCGAATGGGCCTCCTCTAGGCCCACCGGCCTATGGGTTGGGCTGGCCAGCCCACTTTCGGCACCGGTTGGCCCCATCTTTTTATAGACAGGTGGGTCCACTCCCCAGGGTCACAGATATTTGTGTTTGCATATTTGTTGACGTCAGTTTATATACTTGATGTGTATGACAATGACTCCTTTTGTCCTGTTTTTTGATTAAATCCTCATGCATTCATAGATTCACCAAAACTCTGTCCTGTTTGCATATTTGCATATTTGTTGCAATAACGACCGTCAACAATGTCCTCTTCCTCCACCTGGGCTAGTTGTTCTGCTGTCATATCTTGACGTGAAGAGTTGGATTCAATGTGTGACTACGGGGGATATTGTTGGGGTTTAGTCCCACATCAGATATCAATGGTGTGGGAGCACAACATATAAGGCGGGGGCGGTCCAACCTATTAGGCTAGTCTTTTGGGTTGAGCAAAACCGATAGGCCTTATATGTTGTCAGCTCTGGTGGACTTAGGACTTGTGGGGAGCGAAGGCTCGTGGTAATGAGCAAAGCCAGCTCCAAGATTGAGAACTCAGTGGTCACCACCGGTACTAACAATTGGTATCAGAGCGGCCCAAGGTCAAAAAAGCTAAACCCGATAAAAATCTCGAGCGTCACATCATGGCGGGGCACCCCAATGTGTGACTGTGGGGGAGGTTGTTGGGGTTTAGTCCCACATCGAATATCAATGGCGGGGAGCACAACATATAAGTGGGGGCAGTTCAACCTATGAGACTAGTCTTTTGGGTTGAGTTAGGCCCAAGGCCTTATATGTTGTCAGCTCTGGTGGACCTGGGACCCATGGGAGCGAAGGCTCATGGTAACGAGAAGCCAACTCCAAGATCAAGAACTCAGTGGTCACCACCGGTTCTAACAAGATGCTAATGACGTGAACTCCTGGAAAACTAAAATTTGCTCAAGTGACGTAGATATTGGATAGAGGGAGTAATACTCATTCCCTTTCAAAGCTAAACCCACCATGTAGGGCTAAATCGATGCAGTATAGAACCTAAAACATTGAAATGGCTACATTTATTTTGTTTTCTACTTCTTTAATTAATAGTATTACTCATTTCCTTTCAAAGCATAAACCAACCATATGCCCCTAGTAAAAAGCAGCCACACAAATCTATGAAATGCAAACATGGATATGGAAAGAGGACAAAATCTATGCCATCTTTGGAACGCAAGATTCTCAAAACACAAGCATAGGAAAAACACAAGATTGAAATGTTCACGCAATTGAAATCATATGGGAAGAACACATGAATCCTACAACATGAAGAAAATGAAAACATGAGGTTGTACCTTATGTTTAATTTCCCCTAGAGTTTCTATAGGACCGCTCATCCATAGGAATTTGTTCCAAAGACTCTTGTGTGAAAGTTTCCTGTACAAATTCAATACTCTAAATTCGTTCCACTATTTCCTCCATTCCAAAACGGGCCTTAGATGGTGTGGGAAGTATTCAACACCAATTAATTAGGTCAATCATATCATAGACAAGCACAAAACAATGAGGAAAAGGGTCTGACTCCATCCATGCAACACATAATACCGTGTGGAAAGGTTTTCGGCTCACTTTGTGGCAAATGGCAAATCAGTAAGAGACGGTGAGGGGTGCAACAAGCAGGGACAGAGCCCAGTAAAGACAAAACTGGGCTGTGCCCCTTGCCTCAAATAATTTTTCAAAGCACAATAGTTTTTTGGCTTGCCTAGGACCCTAGAAGCCAGCAGCCTGCGGCGGAGCAGTAGGCCACTTATGCATACGCGGTTGCACGGAAAGGAGTCATGGAGCCACGGAGCGACCAAACGATAGTCAAGTACTCGCATCTCTGCATCACCATGTGTGCTCCAGCCGCTTAGCCAGTCCTCAGCATCATCGAGGCCCCGATGGTAGCCCCTACCCCTCGATAGTTCGATCCCCAATCTTGTTCATTTGTTCTTGTTTTAAAATCACCCCCTCTAATAATTTTCTTCAACCTCGGCCACTAGTGACAAGTGTGTACCAAACCTAATTAATATAGTAGCATGCTAAATTATTCAATGTAGGTTTTTTCACATGATTAAATTGATGCCACTATCTGAACATTTGTCCTTATACATACCCCTATTAAATTGGATGTTGAATGGTTCAAAATCAACGCGGATTTTCCACATGCCCTTGCGGACACTAGGCTTATCCTGGCCGGATGAGGGCGTCAAGATTCGCGCCTGGAATAGGGTGCAGCGACCTGGGGCGGCGGAAGCTGGGGCCGTCGCGGTGGCGGCGTAGGCCGGGGCCGATGACTGGGGGCGGCGGTGGGAGCGGTGGAGGTTGGGGTGGCAACAGGTGCCGGCACCTGAGGAGGAGGCGCAGCCGCACAACGACGCGACGAGGTGCTACCGTGCTGCCCGGTGGGAGAGAAAGCGATTAAAAATAAATAAAAGGAGTGAGACCCATGATGAGATCGTCGGCTAGGATATGCCCGGTGGTCACAAGGGCATGTGGGATTGCAGTTTTGGTTCAACATAGATCTTCCATATGATTAAACTGATGTGTGATAAGAAACTGAAACATATTCCCTTTCATTTAAGCAAACCTACACAAACTAAACAATGGATTGCATACATTCTATAGGCATTGCTATTCTTAAGATGTAAATTTCTTTTGCATCTGATGCACATCATCATGGATCATAATTCATCATCCTCTGTAGGACTGATTACTATGGACTTACATAACATGATCAAGTCCAAACCCTACTTTCGGAAAGAAAAAAGAAAAAAGGAATAAAATCCAAATGCAAATAAAAAGAAGCAAGGAACTGGATTGAACAGCTAAACTAGATCAACACCAAGCATTGGATTATGTCGATCTAGATTAGCAGGGATTCGTTCGAGTTCCTGGCTTTTTTCTTCTTCCAGCCATGTTACTTTTATTTTGTTTTTCCTTATCCTCCAGTCCAGTTTCTAAAAGAACTCGCACGGGTCCGCCAGCGGCACGCAGAAGAGGCCCGCGTCACCGTGCCCCATGCCGTCGTCGAGCAGCCAGCTCTCCAGCATCGGTAATGACGACGACGGCCCCGGCCCTCTACCTTTGTCGTCCCGGTGAACCCCTCCAGCGTGCGCGCTGTGCCGCTGTGGCTTCCCGACCCGCCCTCGCCACCACCAGAGACCGCCGAGACGAAGGTCATCCAGTCGGCCGACGCCTTCCTGCTGGCCCTGGGGCGCATCCAGACCTCCAGCAGACGCGCAATGTTCTCGATGCTGCAAGCGTACATCGCCGGGCTGATGGCTGGCGCCGGCAGCTGCGCCAGCGGCAGTGGCTCCGGCTTGATGGCCGGCGGCGCAGTGTCGAAGGACAGCGCCTCCTGGAGAGCATGGCGTGCGGTGTGGATGTCCGTCTGCAGCTGCCGCTCCCACTGCCCCTTCATCTCGGCGGAGCCGGAGGCACCGCTTTCCCTGGTGCCCGTCTTGGCGAGCTTCTTCTTGAGGTGCGTGTTCCAGTAGTTCTTGATGTCATTGTCCGTCCGATCCGTCATGTACGACGCAATCGTGGACCACCTGATCGAGCAAAAACACAGTTGGTCCTTAGGGCTCTCTGCTGAGGAATCACATAGGAGTATGTGCGAACGAAGGACTCTTTGATCTTGAAGTGGAATATGGAGCGGACTTACTTGTTCCCGAGCAGCTTCTGCAGGTCGATGATGATCTTCTCCTCCTGGTCGCTGAAGTTGCCGCGCTTGATGCCCGGGCGGAGGTAGTTGGTCCACCGAAGCCGGCAGCTCTTGCTGCAGCGCATCAGCCCTGGATCCATGATCCATGAACAAGAGCAGCAGCAGAAACGAGTCAAGGAATCGCCGACATGAAACAACAGCCATCTAGTCTAGAAAGAAACAAAGACAAACTCTGAGCAGAGGGTTGTACCGGTGCTGCTAGGCACGGCGCGCCAATTCTCAGGACCGTGCTCCTGCACGTAGGAGACGAGCAAGAGGTCCTCCTCCGGCGACCAGGGCCCCTTCTTCACCCCGCTCCTCTCACAGCACGGCGGCCTCCCCATGCCTTCCCAGACACTCCTGTCCTGGCCGGCCGCTCGGCCTCTACGTGCTCGACGCTTGCTTGGCTGGCCTGGATGGTGACTTGGGTTAGGTTGGTGGTGTTTATATAGGCGCGGAAGCGCCCCCCTGGCCTGGACCCCACGTTTGACCGTGGCCTGGCAGAAGCGGCAGACAAGAGTGAGGCCAGCACCACCCAACAGACCAAAAACACTGCACTGCAAGGTCTGCGGCGCGCGAGGGCAGCAGCCCTGTCATCCAGTGGACCCCTCCAAGGTCCATGACACACCCACGCTCGTCAGCATCGTCACTGCAAGGCCACAACCGAACAATGACAGACTGGGGCAGGGTGGCTAAAGGCAAAGGCGACGTTAGTGATAGAGGCACAAGCCAGGGCGGACCAAGAAGCCGCGCCGGACTCTGGACCGAGCCTGACCGGACCGGACCGTCCCCGTTGGTAAGGGCTGCTCGCTCTCGTCAGGCGTCAACATCTGTTTCCTTGCGCTTTGTGGGGGAAAAAAATCGACAAGAACGGAAAACCATGGTATCCACCGTGGATTCACGACACATGTTCATGTGCATGCATCCGACCCATGAAATTTCGCGAATTCACGGTAGATGTCTTTGATTTCTCCATGAGATCTGTCCCAGCTCAAACTTTTGTTAACTTAAATTATAGGCAAAATTTGTTTGCGGACAGTGAAAGTGAGTTTGCTTTGCCAGCGGACACCAAAAACGATTAATTTATTGTCGGACAATCTAGTTTATGCCAAATTTGCTGAAGGACACTAAACGGATTAAAATATTCATTTCTATCCTAGGAGGTGAGAGAACAGCTGTGAAATGACGTCTTTGCACCTGCCTCTTTCTTCTTCCTCTCTCTCCCTTTTCTTCTGCTACGGTGAGTTTCGCGCATGTGGCCTCCTGTGTGCTTGCCGGTGGTGGCCTCCCGCAGCCTCTTACGAGCTCGTGGCCACCTCCTGCGTGCTGGCCAGACGGGTCCATGCCCGCGCCTCCTGTGTGCTCGCGGCTAGTGGCGGCGGCAGCAGTGCGGCGCCCACGATAGGGCCCGCATCCACGACCTGCTCGGCCTGAGCGGTGGCGGCCAGCCAGACGAGGTCCATGCCTACGAGCTCGCCGGTGGCTGGGGGCAGTCTGTGCGGCAGCGGCCAATCGGGCGAGAGCCACGCTCGCTCGCCCGCCCACGGCCACCACCTAAACCAACACGAGGATGCCGATGGTGGCCAGATCCTGTGCACACTGGCGGTCTATGGTGGCCCACGCGCTGCTGCCCGAGCTCAAACGGAGCGGCGGGTGAAGAACAAGTGAGGAAGAAGAAAGAGGCAGGGGCAAAAAGAACATTTCACCACTCTTGTCTCACCTCCCGTCGGGTTCATAAACCCGGGGTCCCTCGCGGACCGGCTTCCCCGCAAAGGCTCGGCTCAAGTAGACAACGCGCAACTCATAGGCCGACCCAAGTACCTAAACGACAGGCCAAAGGGGGGATCGAATATCCGACCGGGAGGCCTGGCCAAGGAGGAACAGCACCTGCTTTCCGATTCCGGCCCACCTCTCCGACTGGAGCACTCGCTTCGGTCTCCAGTCCGCCTCCGGACGGCCTCTCCGACCGGAGAGCCTGGCCAAAAGCATTACTTCCGACTCCGACCCGCGTCTCCGACCGGGGATGCACCAAAACCCTGCTCACAGCTCGTCTCCGATTGGCGCGATCAGAGTCGACTGGGACTAACCGACCGGGTACGCCAGCTCGGAAAGGACCGGGGAACAAACGGAGAAAGCAAGGCGGGGCGCACAAGTCAAACCGCGATACCAGGGACCATACCCTGTACACCTATAGAAACTGTACTCTACAACCTTCCTGGCACAACAGAGCCCAAACAGTATTGTAGGCGCCGATATTTTCCCCTACAGTATTGTGGGCGCTATTAACTCCCCTACGGTGAGGCCTCCCCCCACATGCCTCTAGGAATCGACAGTGTTGTGGGCGCCGGCTTTTACCGTACTGGACGAACATGGTAAAAACCCCTTGCATGCCTCCAGGTATAACAGTGTGGCAGGCGCCGACATCTGCCTTACCCAAAGAAAACAACACCGCCTCCCACGTGCATCTGACATTCAACAGTGTTGTGGGCGCCTACCATCATCCTGTACCCACCGACGTGGGCAACAAGGCTCAGTAGCATACGTACTCTCTCCCTCTCACTTGTAAGGCCATCCCCTTTATCTATAAAAGGGGATGCGCTCTCTCCCAAAAGTGACAGTTAATCGAGGCTGATCCAAGTCATTCCATATTCATTAGATCGATCAAGTTCACTAGTTCACAACCACATAACCGCCAGGTTCGAACCTCAAGCACACGCTTGAACACTTAGCTCATAGCGGAGCTCCTGTCGCTCTCGGCCCTTCCAACCAGAGTCCGACCGGACCTCTTGTACCCCCTATCTTTCTCCTTCTCGTTTGTAACCTCACTGCAAACTTTGAGCACCTAGGTTCAGGAATAAAGTCACCGACCGAATCAAACTGGACGTAGGGCATGTTGCCTAAACCAGTATAAATCCTGTGTCATTGAGTGTTAGGCCACCTCCGATCACAACGTACGGTAAAACTACAAATATTTACTTGTTGGTAACTTTCTGCACCGACAGTTGGTGTCGTCCGTGTGGAAGATGCTGTATGTTGAACACTTTTTTGGTCATCAGATGGCCCACTTTTCCGCCACCTTCGCCATGGAGGGCTCAAGCGATACGACTCGCTTTGGCTCACTGGAGTTTCCCGCACTCCCACCGGTTGGGATGTGGGTTCCACCCGTCTTCGAGCCATCCCAGGCCTTCCTCTTCGGAAGCCTGGACTTTATCGCCGACCAGCTCGGCGTACTACACCTCCACGAGGAGGCACCCGTTCCAGCGCTCGTTGGTGGGGCACCCTCCATCGGCTACGGAACGCACGACGACTTCAACAATGAGGCATCTGCGCTTCACTCCGAGCAAACTCTCTGCTCAAACCCCACTGTGAGTAATATACATGCTGTTATTTACTTGCTATTATCTATCTTCCACCATTTACTCGGAGGGACCCCGTTGTCCCTGCCGCGACCGCCATATGACCGATTCCCCTACGGCCTCGCATCTCCCACGGACGCGTACGCCTGGGGGCTCCAAAGGATGCCGGCGCCGCCCCCTCTCATGTCCGAATTCGTGGGGATGGCGAGCTATGCTCCCACCTGTTTCCTTGACCTCGTGGATGACGATGTTGAGAGTGATGGCTCCAGCATCGGTGATGTGGCGCCTAGCCACCGTCCATCCTGAGAGTGCGCTATGGCGGACGCTCCAGGACAGCCACCGGTGGTAACAGAGTCCTTGCAGACTCACACCCCTCTGGACCCTCGTGCGGAGACCCCCGAGCTCACACGGGAGCATGGCGTGGAACTATGACAATAGTGGCTGCACCAGCCACCGACTGCGCCAGCGCGCTCGGCGCACCACACTGCGCCCCGTGCGCATAGACCGGCGAGTGGCGCCCGGGGTCATGCCCGACGGGTCCAGCGCAACACCATGGACAGGGGGAACGATCCCCCATAGTTCGCTCAGGCCAATCAAAACATCGTTGCTGCGGTAATGCTTCTGTGCGGCCTGCCCGAGCCGAACGACCCTCAGGAACAAGCGATCCACCGGAACCTCCGGGCACTAGTGGAGACCACCGCCGTTCAACAAGCGGAGAGCTCCGTATCGCGACACCGACCCGCGGCCTCACTCCCCACCAGGGGAATGGGGACGCAGCAGATGAGTCGCTCCACCCGCTCACCACTACAATCGCCAAGCGCGGCATAAGAGGCCACATTGGCACATCGTCTTGACTTGACGACCGCTCCGCGACCCTGCCTGTACACAAGCGGCTCAGGCCAAACCGAGATGCTCGCAGCGGTGACCGAAGTCCTAGCCCGGATGGCCTGGGACCACGGGCCTTTGACCAACGCATCTAGCGAGCGCCGCCCCCGCAGCGCTCCAATAGAGGCCGAGGCAAAGACAAGGCCAAGCGCCAAGATCAGGATGAGGGGCCCTCCACACAAAGGGGGGAAAAGAACAAAAAAGATTGCCGTTGACCGGCCAACTCCGCGTTGGTCGCCACGGCTGATCACACGGGCAAACAGCCCCAGTAGGACCTTCCAGCCCACTTCCACGAGCTCATGGAGAGCCCGTGCACCAATCACGCCTACCCCGTCAAACACCTCTACAAGGACTGTGAGATCCTCAAGCGCCTTCTACGACAGGCCGGTGGGCTAAAGGAAGAAGAAGGCGAAGAAGCAGCGGCCAAGAAAGGGGGCGTAGCGGACAAGGATCCGGATGACTGAAGGTTGAAATGATCCGACCGGACGCCTACCGACTGAAGGACAACAACGACGACATTCTCACCGAACGCTTGGAACAGCTATGTCATTTTTCTTCCCCCAAATTTCAGTCTTACCATTGTTTACTTAGCGTTTGCTCCTATAAGAGCACCCCGACCCGAACACTTTTCGGCCTAGGTCACTCGGGGGCTCCACGAGGGTACACTACTACCTCTCTTTTTCGTTTACTATCATATGGTGAAACTCCTTCCTACCCAAACAAAAGGGTAGTTTGTTTCTTTAATTTGCGTAACGTAGCTTTGCTTTAAAACATTCTGACCGATCGCACCCCGCCTTTTCCTACGGTTACGAGCAGCTGAGCCTTGCGGGCCACGCCCCGGGCTCCCAAGGTTGCAGCCTACGGGACGAACGGGCAAGTACGAGAAAGAAAGAATAAAAAACAAAATTATGCTAAGGGAAAACTAAGGAACGAAAGGGACAAGCTTCCCCGAACGGAGTGACCCCATCACAAAAAACGAAAATAACTGTAGTCATTAAGTACACAAGAATGTTTACACAGGGGCTCCCCCATGAACTTAATCTTTTTACATCTACTAAACTCCTTATACTTTACAAACTATTGGGGCGGCTCGGCGGCATCTG